AATTTTAGGCTAAATAGGTTCTTATGTCTATATTTTTAGGCTAACAGGTTCTTAAATTGCAGGTTCTTATAAGCGGGTAAGTACTATAGTTTTAGAAGTGCAATATTTTCAATATTTCTTACCATGGATGTTCAGTCGACATTTTTTACAGCATTCCCTYTTAGGTGGTCGGATTCCGATAAAATTATTACAACTTTGTATTTCTTGTTTAAGGATAACTATTGCTGTCTTTCCTTTTGAAAATCTATCTAAAGCTGTTGAATAGAAATCAATCATTATGACTGAATTTGTTGGTTAATCAATCAATTAATTCAGTGAGTTAAGAAAATCAACCAGACGGCCATGCAATCAATAAGTCAATTAATCCATCCAGAAAGTCAATCCAACTACCAACAAATCAATCAATCAGTAACAGCATCCATCAATTAATCAATCAATCAATAAGTCCATGAATCTATAAACTCATCAATCAATCAATCAGTTAGTTAGCAGGGCTCTAAATAACGGCCAGACATATGTAGGACAAGRTGTCCTTCCAGATTCATTTTTGGAAGGTCATTTCCAGTTTTGAAAGGACAGAAACTTTATTATACTATTATTTTCGCATAATTTATAGGTTTTTATTTATTTAGCTAATTTTTAGAAGATTTATTTATTTCAGAATTGATTAAAAAATTGGCAGGTCAAACTGTCCTTTCAAAACCCTATTTGGCCGGTCATCTAGCGCATTTGGAAGGACGTTATCCTTTGACCGGCAGTTATTTCGAGCCCTGGTCAGTAAATCAATCAATTACTCAGTCCATCAATCCATCAATCATTTGATCAATTAATCAGACAGGTTCATTAATCCACCAATTTATTAATCATCCAATCAGGGCATCAAGATTTCATTAAACCAATAATCCATCACTGCATTATTCAATCAATCAGTTTATCAATCAATTTAGTGCATCAATCCAACATTAAAGGGACACTGTCAATGGATGACATGCGCAGTAACAGTCTCACCTCTAACGGACTTTGAAAGTATTACCTTCGAGGTGAATCATTTTGTGGTGCTTTTGACACACTTTGGAATATTCTAGATCTGT